CGTCACCAGCTGATGTATATTGCAATATTGTCTCACCCTGCCAACACTTCCGTCACCAGCTGATGTATATTGCAATATTGTCTCACCCTGCCAACACTTCTGTCACCAGCTGATGTATATTGCAATATTGTCTCACCCTGCCAACACTTCCGTCACCAGCTGATGTATATTGCAATATTGTCTCACCCTGCCAACACTTCTGTCACCAGCTGATGTATATTGCAATATTGTCTCACCCTGCCAACACTTCCGTCACCAGCTGATGTATATTGCAATATTGTCTCACCCTGCCAACACTTCTGTCACCAGCTGATGTATATTGCAATATTGTCTCACCCTGCCAACACTTCCGTCACCAGCTGATGTATATTGCAATATTGTCTCACCCTGCCAACACTTCTGTCACCAGCTGATGTATATTGCAATATTGTCTCACCCTGCCAACACTTCCGTCACCAGCTGATGTATATTGCAATATTGTCTCACCCTGCCAACACTTCCGTCACCAGCTGATGTATATTGCAATATTGTCTCACCCTGCCAACACTTCCGTCACCAGCTGATGTATATTGCAATGTTATCTCACCCTACCAACACTTCCCTCACCAGCTGATGTATATTGCAATATTGTCTCACCCTGCCAACACTTCCGTCACCAGCTGATGTATATTGCAATATTATCTCACCCTACCAACACTTCCTTTACCAGCTGATGTATATTGCAATATTATCTCACCCTACCAACACTTCCGTCACCAGCTGATGTATATTGCAATATTATCATTATTATTAAGATTGTCACCTTACACATATATCATATACATATCATGTACCTCTACAACTAAGCAGTTACACATTCCTACATACATCACTATTTATTTGTATCGCACTCAACACAGGAAGCAGCTGACCCAGGGAGTGCCCTTCCTGTCTGTAGTCTTTTTCTTCCCATTGTAATGAAATATTCAGTTAGCTAACCTAGTCAAAACAGCAACACAGAGAGTGTGCACAGAGCACCACCACCTGCTCATGGAAACATCTAATGTGTCCTAGGTTCTTCATATGTCTAATATGTCTCACTTTTACCTAACAACTACTCTCATAATCCAGGAAACATTGATGAAGACGTCAGGTGGTGTCGGGTATTACCAAACAAGCAGCTCTTACCGAAAACATTTCATTTCCTCACTTATTTCTCATATTGCTGATCATAACAGCTATTGCTATGTGAAAACTAACCTTCCTCTTCCGGGAGGTATATCATCTGATACACAGAAAGTCAATAAAATATGACGATTGAAAAAGAACTTGAAAGATGCTTGACATCAAATTCTTGCACATGATTCGTATTATGACGATGAAATACTCTGATAAGGAGTTTGGTCAAAACAGGGATATCTTTTTACAAACATAACATCCAGCATATTTTTGTATCTTTCATCATTCTAAGCCTAAGACAATCTTTTGCCAGTAAAAATAGGAAAATACAGCTACTTTGCTAACAAGGCAGCTACAGTACACCCCCGTGAAGATAATAGGTCTTCAGCAACCCATGCTAGCTGTAAAAGGCATCTATGCTTATCGTAAGAGGCAACTAACGGGATCAGGTGGTCAGACTCGCTGACTTGGTTGATGCATATTATCGAACCCAATTGTGTGGATCAATGCTCATGATATTAGTCACTGGATTGTCTGGTCCAGACTCGATTATTTACAGACCGCCGTCATATAGCTGGAATATTGCTGAGTGCTGCGTTAAATAACCAACCAACCAGCCAAGCTACATTGCACTTTCCACATTTCAGCAAGCAGACTGTCCAGGTGGTTCACGACACCAACAAGGGAGATAGTCCAATATAGGACACATGTGCTCAAATATGCAAACTATCCATAAATTGTTAAAACCCAACGACTGATTGACTAGTTCAGTCAGGATACATTGTACTCTGTTATGGCTAGATCACAGAATGTTACAGATCTAGGCTCTGTGTATTTGATGATTACATGGATCTAGAATTTCACATCACATCCTGGACTCTTGGACAAGATAAACATGCATAAGTACCACCAAAGGTAGCGATTGGGTTTAACATAGCAGTTGCAAAAACCGATTCTTACTGAGACTGTAAAAAATATATACTACTCAAAAGCTCACACAATTTTTTCATATGAGTAAAGTTCATTGGTCACTCCATGAAAAATATTGGGTGTTCCTAAACTTGTTTCATGGGGAAGTAATGATGCTTCAGCCTCATAGATCACTCTGATTGTTCTTGTAATTCAACAGATTGTCCGGAGACAGGAATGCCAGGAATAACTTCACAAGAGTGTTTGGAATAACTTGACCCAATGAGGTCAACAAGTAAAGTACTTTGACACTATAAAAAATTGATCTGTAACAAGTGTGCTGTATTGCAGATACATGTCAATAAGATACACTCAGAAATGTTTGTTGTGGACATTTAACTATTCTTTCGTGGGATGACAACACAGTGGAAATGAGGCGGGACATAGCATCAGCTGTGGTAATATCCCGACACCACCCTACTACTGACAACCAGTATGTACACACTACACGACACGAAGACTTAAGGCAAGGTCTCAACACAGACAAATAATTCAAGAAGAGCACCATTGTAAAACCACCATAAACCCCTGAGATTTTGTAACAATCTTTTCTCCATACAGAACAACTCTATATACAAAAGCCTAACAACTGTTTCCTGGGAACATGATTCACAATCACATCATGTGGAACAGTTAAGGTGAGAATAGAAACTGATACAGACCGTAACAATTTACAGGATAACTGTTAAGAAGTAAGTTTTAAATACACCCTCTTCAAAAGTTTCCTGGCAACCAGTTCCCTTCTCCCAACGTGGGTGGAATGTAAACTATTTCATATATTTGTGTCTATAAATGTTTAACCACTAGGGTGACCCTTTGGTGTTTCCCCAGCACAGCTAAGGGGGAAATAAGCATATCCTATGGTATGTGATATGTCGATTATAACATGTGACATATATTTCTCCTCTCCCAAATACAATATATGAATGGACAACAAAGTAATCATCAACTTCTGTAAAAACACACTGTAAAGATCAAATCTTTGAAAGGCATTTAAAAGTGATACACATAAGGAGGAGAATTTATGGATAACTTCTTTATTATGAGGAACAACATTTCGGAGTATATATACTTTCTCCTTCATCAGGTGAATAACATCACCAACTGATGAAGGAGTAAGTATTTCCTTTGAAACTTTGTGTTCCTCATAATAAAGAAGTGACATTTCTATATTCTCTTCCTCATACTGTAAAGATGTAATAAATGTTGTAACAGCATTTGGACTAGGACATGACCAATACCTAGCCGGACTTGGACATGACCAATACCTAGCCAGACTTGGACATGACCAATACCTAGCCAGACTTGGACATGACCAGTACCTAGCCGGACTTGGACATGACCAATACCTAGCCAGACTTGGACATGACCAATACCTAGCCAGACTTGGACATGACCAATACCTAGCCAGACTTGGACATGACCAATACCTAGCCAGACTTGGACATGACCAATACCTAGCCGACTTGGACATGACCAATACCTAGCCAGACTTGGACATGACCAATACCTAGCCAGACTTGGACATGACCAATACCTAGCCAGACTTGGACATGACCAGTACCTAGCCGGACTTGGACATGACCCATACCTAGCCTACTTGGACATGATCCATACCTAGCCGGACTTGGACATGATCCATACCTAGCCGGACTTGGACATGACTAATACCTAGCCAGACTTGGACATGACCAATACCTAGCCGGAATTGGACATGACCACAACCTAGATGGACTTGGACATGACCAGTACCTAGCCGGACTTGGACATGACCAATACCAAGCTGGACTTGGACATGATCCATACCTAGCCTACTTGGACATGATCCATACCTAGCCGGACTTGGACATGATCCATACCTAGCCGGACTTGGACATGATCCATACCTAGCCTACGTGCAGTACAAGTGTCATATATGACATGTATGAACACAGAAGTAGTATTTCCTCTACAAGTTCGTGTATATTCAAGAACTAACAATGTGAAGAATGCAGCGAAGGAACACACTTGCATCACATGCAGGGCGATGTTGGACAAAGACGAAGTCATGATGAAATGGTAGGACATTTACATCTTGATCAATGTGGTAATAGTTCACAATATACAGACTTAACATGTATTGAGCAATAAGACACAACTGTATCATGCAGTACATACAGGGCACAAGACAAGATGGAAGCTGAAGTATTTCCCAAAGTATCATTCCAAGGTTGTATAAGGGGACTATTGCTGCCAAAAGCAGCTCGGATTATACAGTGTAGCATATCTCATTCTACCAGTGTAGCATATCCCATTCTACCAGTGTAGCATATCTCATTCTATTAAGATAAACACCCTGGGCCCACTTGCCACCGTAGCTTCATTGGGAGTCGAATTCAAAACATGCAATGCTAAAAATAGCTATCCAACCAAATAACTCTCATGAGCAAGAGGAATTCTGTGCAAGGTATTGATAAGACACATAGGGATTGTGACTGAAAATGGGGCAAAAGTGAGAATTGGGTGTAGGATCTGTATCTCAACAGAATGGAGATATAATACCCTGTATAAAGGAGGATGGCTAAAAATCTATAAACATTAAATAACTGAATCAGTGCCAGTGAACAGTTCCCTTTCACTGAAAAATTTCATTTTCTTAAATCAAAGGAACTTGTTACAAATCTATCTACAATATACTTTGATCAGTGCAAACATACTGCCTTGAAAATATTGCACTACATTCCCTAACGAGACTGGCAAAATTGTATTATGCTTAATCAAGTCAGTATAAGATAGATATCCTCACTTCTTAAATAGTAGGTAAATGAATGTCGTTCACAGCAGGGCAAGATGTCATATGTTGACACCTTTACAAATTACAACAAAGACAAATATAAATAAACAATCTGTACCATACTTGTAAACACTTGACATTAAACTGACCTTAAACTGGGTCTATTGTAACCTTACATTATTCAATAGATTACAATCAATTAATCCCTGAAGCAACTTAAGGACTTACAACCATCACAAGGGGCTACAGTGTCAGGTTGTGAACAATGGGACACATTATTGACAGTCCTCACACATCTTGTGGACAAAGAACAATATCTCAAATGTATATAAATTAAGTTGCCTTCAAGATGCTCTACAACATCCACTGTAGCCAGTGAGTCAGGGACCATCTCAACAAAACACTTCCAGTCCAACACAGAGAGCAACATGTACAACATAGTTCAAGGCAGGAGCTGATAGTTAACCACAGTGCCAATAAAGCACCAGGACTTAAGTTAAATTGTCTGATGTGTAAAGTTAAAAATGGACTCAAAGTAACAAAGTTTCATTGTACGAGGAAAATGTCTTTTTTGGACAAAAGAACAAAGTTCAAACAATCATGTGTTTTCATGGCCAGCTTTAAACTGTATTCTGATTTTCATCCTGCTTACTCCAACTGTCCTGTTCTACCAGCTTCTCAAGGGGTGTATGATGTATGAATGCCTTAACTTGAGAGTGATCTAAGCTGTTTATGTTCTGTAAGTATCCCAAAGCTGTAATCTTGTTCTTGCTGACTCCATCTGTTCCAAGCAGGCAGGCTAATGGATATTGATCCATTTCACAAAGAAATCTGTACACAACCCGTCTCAAATTATGACTGTAAAAGTTGAACATCATCTTCAACACCATCACCAGAAGTATTCATCTTGATAGAGAAGCCATGAGAAGCACCTGGCTGTTACCTAGCAACAGAATGCTCTGTTACGGCTGTTACTGCCGCTGTGTCGACGCAGTTTGTGCCATGGCCACAACCTAGCTGGGACTAGCATTGTCTCTGGTCTGGGAGTCGCTTGAGGCTGGTTGTGGTCGGCGCTGAACAATGCTACTTCCAGGAATAACTGTCATGAAGTCTCTCTCACTTCTGTAACTGTTTCCTGATTCTGGAATGATTTCACGTGACTCTGACCGAGAACTCATGTGAGGTTTGTGATCAGGGGATTGCGATGAGTTGGAGGAAGACTTGGAGAGGATATGAGAGTCTGACGTACGTCGGGTGAGCATACGTCGAGCATCGGTGTTCTGAGCATTCATCATCTGCTCCGATCTGTAAGATGACACATGAAACTGTGAATCAGATGATTTCCTGGTAGTTCCCCTGACAGATTCCATTCTGTTTGAGGACTGAGAGGTGTGTCTCTGGATATCAACACTCGACCCATCAGACGGACTCTCCTGGCCCTCCTTTGACTGATGATTCTGTTTGTTCGAGGACTCAGACCCTGCCTCTGGGGGGGACTTTGGGACACTACGGCATCTAGTGCCACCTGGTGGTGAGTTTGACACCTGAATGGACGACAATGACTGACTTCTGGGTACAGATCTACCACCAGGGTGACCTCTAAGCTCTGAAGAATAACCTTGAACCTGACCTTCGTCTTGAGCTTGGCTCCAGGGATCAGTGCTTGGATGCTGCCTTTTCTGAGGGCTACTGACCTGGCCCCTATGGTCCGGGCTACGCACAATTGGTGAGCGTGATGGAATAGATGGACAATGGCCGAGAGGTTGAGCAGTGGCCCCCCTTCCTGAGGCTTGAGTGAGGGAGCCCCTGGGTGGAGGTTGGGGGGCAGCTTGAGGTGAAGGCCGGAGCCCGGGAAGGGTGGAAGGCACCTGGTTCGAGTTCCTGGGACTGTCAGGGGGTCGGCCTTGGCGAGGACTATCTGACACGTTTTCAGATGTACAGCGACGTCTGATGTCTGGTGAGTTAAGTCCTGGGGACGTCTGAGCTTCAAGTCTCTACAAAAATGTTCGAGGGGAATACTTATATTATACCATGCATCTTAAATCAGTTGTTAACAGTGTTACAATCTAAATCTAAACCTCAAAGTTTATCTTAAAGAAATAAAAACTCAGTTTTTGAGTAGTAAGAGTAAAACAAGAAAACAGTGTTGTCAATATCCCCTGCCATCGGCCACATTAGAATTTTGTTTGTTCATACAGTAGTGAATATAAACTATTAAAAAAATCATATAAAGCCTTAAAAGAGATAGCCACTAAGGCTGCTTTGTGTCATAGGAAAAACTGATTAATGTGAAATTAATACACAAAAAAGGCCCCTTCTCAGGAACATATAACTCAGTCTTGAAAAGTATCTCATAGATAAGCAAACTGAGAAAACTTGTCCCCATTGCACACACGATGCACCAAGTGAAATAACATGGATCAAGGGCCGTAACTCTCTCAAAAGATAAATGAGGGGACACATTTTTTAACTAAGTCTTAACAAGTATCTCTTAGATAAGCTTGCAAAGTTTCATGCAACTTCAGTCCAGAGAAAACTTGTTCCCATTTCACACAGCTTGCACTAAGTTGAAAAGCATGGAGCAAGGGCTATAACTCTGTACAAAATGAATACCCCGATACCCCATGGACACAGAGACTGTTGGAAGACAAATGGGCCCCGATACCCCATGGACACACAGACTGTTGGAAGACCAACCTTGAGGGCCTCTCTTCTCTGGAACTCCACCTTGGCCATCTCATGTGCCACCCAGTCCGGGATGTCAGGAATAGCATAGGCAATCCAGAACTTGAGCAAGAGGATCAGATGCTGCAACATACACACAACATTGGGATAATTAGAAGATAAACATACCATTTTCAATGTAAAGCTAGGCTACCTGTAGATTTAACTGCGCTAAATTGAATTTGGATCCGAACATGCACATTGGTTCAAACTGTCACCTACCTCCAGTACAATGATGACGATGTGACCTACCCCAGTACAATAATGACGATGTCACCTACCTCCAGTACAATAATGACGATGTGACCTACCTCCAGTACAATGATGACGATGTGACCTACCTCCAGGACAATGATGACAATGTCACCTACCTCCAGTACAATGATGACGATGTCACCTACCTCTAGTACAATGATGACAATGTCACCTATCTCAAGTACAATGATGACGATGTCACCTACCTCTAGTACAATGATGACAATGTCACCTATCTCCAGTACAATGATGACAATGTCACCTACCTCCAGTACAATGATGACAATGTCACCTACCTCCAGTACAATGATGACGATGTCGACTACCTCCAGTACAATGATGACGATGTCGACTACCTTCAGTACAATGATGACGATGTCACCTACCTCCAGTACAATGATGACGATGTCGACTACCTCCAGTACAATGATGACGATGTCACCTACCTCCAGTACAATGATGACGATGTCGACTACCTCCAGTACAATGATGACGATGTCACCTACCTCCAGTACAATGATGACGATGTCGACTACCTCCAGTACAATGATGACGATGTCACCTACCTCCAGTACAATGATGACGATGTCGACTACCTCCAGCACAATGATGACGATGTCACCTACCTCCAGTACAATGATGACGATGTCACCTACCTCCAGTACAATGATGACGATGTCGACTACCTCCAGTACAATGATGACGATGTCGACTACCTCCAGTACAATGATGACGATGTCACCTACCTCCAGTACAATGATGACGGTGTCACCTACCTCCAGTACAATGATGACAATGTCACCTACCTCCAGTACAATGATGAAGATGTCACCTACCTCCAGTACAATGATGAAGATGTCGACTACCTCCAGTACAATGATGAAGATGTCGACTACCTCCAGTACAATGATGACGATGTCACCTACCTCTAGTACAATGATGACGATGTGACCTACCTCCAGTACAATGATGAAGATGTCGACTACCTCCAGTACAATGATGACGATGTCACCTACCTCCAGTACAATGATGACGATGTCACCTACCTCCAGTACAATGATGACGATGTCGACTACCTCCAGTACAATGATGACGATGTCACCTACCTCCAGTACAATGATGACGATGTCGACTACCTCCAGTACAATGATGACGATGTCACCTACCTCCAGTACAATGATGACGATGTCGACTACCTCCAGTACAATGATGACGATGTCACCTACCTCCAGTACAATGATGACGATGTCACCTACCTCCAGTACAATGATGACGATGTCGACTACCTCCAGTACAATGATGACGATGTCGACTACCTCCAGTACAATGATGACGATGTCACCTACCTCCAGTACAATGATGACGGTGTCACCTACCTCCAGTACAATGATGACAATGTCACCTACCTCCAGTACAATGATGACGATGTCACCTACCTCCAGTACAATGATGAAGATGTCGACTACCTCCAGTACAATGATGAAGATGTCGACTACCTCCAGTACAATGATGACGATGTCACCTACCTCTAGTACAATGATGACGATGTGACCTACCTCCAGTACAATGATGAAGATGTCGACTACCTCCAGTACAATGATGAAGATGTCGACTACCTCCAGTACAATGATGACGATGTCACCTACCTCCAGTACAATGATGACGATGTCGACTACCTCCAGTACAATGATGACGATGTCACCTACCTCCAGTACAATGATGACGATGTCGACTACCTCCAGTACAATGATGACGATGTCACCTACCTCCAGTACAATGATGACGATGTCGACTACCTCCAGTACAATGATGACGATGTCACCTACCTCCAGTACAATGATGACGATGTCACCTACCTCCAGTACAATGATGACGATGTCGACTACCTCCAGTACAATGATGACGATGTGACCTACCTCCAGTACAATGATGAAGATGTCGACTACCTCCAGTACAATGATGAAGATGTCGACTACCTCCAGTACAATGATGACGATGTCACCTACCTTCAGTACAATGATGACGATGTGACCTACCTCCAGTACAATGATGACGATGTCGACTACCTCCAGTACAATGATGACGATGTCGACTACCTCCAGTACAATGATGACGATGTCACCTACCTCCAGTACAATGATGACGATGTCACCTACCTCCAGTACAATGATGAAGATGTCGACTACCTCCAGTACAATGATGAAGATGTCGACTACCTCCAGTACAATGATGACGATGTCACCTACCTCTAGTACAATGATGACGATGTGACCTACCTCCAGTACAATGATGAAGATGTCGACTACCTCCAGTACAATGATGACGATGTCACCTACCTCCAGTACAATGATGACGATGTCACCTACCTCCAGTACAATGATGACGATGTCGACTACCTCCAGTACAATGATGACGATGTCACCTACCTCCAGTACAATGATGAAGATGTCGACTACCTCCAGTACAATGATGACGATGTCACCTACCTCCAGTACAATGATGACGATGTCACCTACCTCCAGTACAATGATGACGATGTCACCTACCTCCAGTACAATGATGACGGTGTCGACTACCTCCAGTACAATGATGACGATGTCACCTACCTCCAGTACAATGATGACGGTGTCACCTACCTCCAGTACAATGATGACAATGTCGACTACCTCCAGTACAATGATGACGATGTCGACTACCTCCAGTACAATGATGAAGATGTCGACTACCTCCAGTACAATGATGAAGATGTCGACTACCTCCAGTACAATGATGAAGATGTCGACTACCTCCAGTACAATGATGACGATGTCACCTACCTCTAGTACAATGATGACGATGTGACCTACCTCCAGTACAATGATGAAGATGTCGACTACCTCCAGTACAATGATGACGATGTCACCTACCTCTAGTACAATGATGACGATGTGACCTACCTCCAGTACAATGATGACGATGTCACCTACCTCCAGTACAATGATGACGATGTCACCTACCTCCAGTACAATGATGACGATGTCGACTACCTCCAGTACAATGATGACGATGTCGACTACCTCCAGTACAATGATGACGATGTCACCTACCTCCAGTACAATGATGAAGATGTCGACTACCTCCAGTACAATGATGAAGATGTCGACTACCTCCAGTACAATGATGAAGATGTCGACTACCTCCAGTACAATGATGACGATGTCACCTACCTCTAGTACAATGATGACGATGTGACCTACCTCCAGTACAATGATGAAGATGTCGACTACCTCCAGTACAATGATGAAGATGTCGACTACCTCCAGTACAATGATGACGATGTCACCTACCTTCAGTACAATGATGACAATGTGACCTACCTCCAGTACAATGATGACGATGTCACCTACCTCCAGTACAATGATGACGATGTCACCTACCTCCAGTACAATGATGAAGATGTCGACTACCTCCAGTACAATGATGAAGATGTCGACTACCTCCAGTACAATGATGACGATGTCACCTACCTCTAGTACAATGATGACGATGTGACCTACCTCCAGTACAATGATGAAGATGTCGACTACCTCCAGTACAATGATGAAGATGTCGACTACCTCCAGTACAATGATGACGATGTCACCTACCTTCAGTACAATGATGACGATGTGACCTACCTCCAGTACAATGATGACGATGTCACCTACCTCCAGTACAATGATGACGATGTCGACTACCTCCAGTACAATGATGACGATGTCGACTACCTCCAGTACAATGATGACGATGTCACCTACCTCCAGTACAATGATGACGATGTCACCTACCTCCAGTACAATGATGAAGATGTCGACTACCTCCAGTACAATGATGAAGATGTCGACTACCTCCAGTACAATGATGACGATGTCACCTACCTCTAGTACAATGATGACGATGTGACCTACCTCCAGTACAATGATGAAGATGTCGACTACCTCCAGTACAATGATGACGATGTCACCTACCTCCAGTACAATGATGACGATGTCACCTACCTCCAGTACAATGATGACGATGTCGACTACCTCCAGTACAATGATGACGATGTCACCTACCTCCAGTACAATGATGACGATGTCGACTACCTCCAGTACAATGATGACGATGTCACCTACCTCCAGTACAATGATGACGATGTCGACTACCTCCAGTACAATGATGACGATGTCACCTACCTCCAGTACAATGATGACGATGTCACCTACCTCCAGTACAATGATGACGATGTCACCTACCTCCAGTACAATGATGACGATGTCGACTACCTCCAGTACAATGATGACGATGTCACCTACCTCCAGTACAATGATGACGGTGTCACCTACCTCCAGTACAATGATGACAATGTCACCTACCTCCAGTACAATGATGACGATGTCACCTACCTCCAGTACAATGATGAAGATGTCGACTACCTCCAGTACAATGATGAAGATGTCGACTACCTCCAGTACAATGATGAAGATGTCGACTACCTCCAGTACAATGATGACGATGTCACCTACCTCTAGTACAATGATGACGATGTGACCTACCTCCAGTACAATGATGAAGATGTCGACTACCTCCAGTACAATGATGACGATGTCACCTACCTCTAGTACAATGATGACGATGTGACCTACCTCCAGTACAATGATGAAGATGTCGACTACCTCCAGTACAATGATGAAGATGTCGACTACCTCCAGTACAATGATGACGATGTCACCTACCTTCAGTACAATGATGACGATGTGACCTACCTCCAGTACAATGATGACGATGTCACCTACCTCCAGTACAATGATGACGATGTCGACTACCTCCAGTACAATGATGACGATGTCGACTACCTCCAGTACAATGATGACGATGTCACCTACCTCCAGTACAATGATGACGATGTCGACTACCTCCTGTACAATGATGAAGATGTCACCTACCTCCAGTACAATGATGACGATGTCACCTATCTCCAGTACAATGATGACGATGTCGACTACCTCCAGTACAATGATGAAGATGTCACCTACCTCCAGTACAATGATGACGATGTCGACTACCTCCTGTACAATGATGACGATGTCGACTACCTCCTGTACAATGATGACAATGTCACCTACCTTCAGTACAATGATGAAGATGTCACCTACCTCCAGTACAATGATGACGATGATGGTGGTGATGTCATCCATGTTCGGCATCATTCTTTGTGTCAGGCCGGACATCCCAATCAGGGCACAGTTGACGATGACAGCAATCACACCCATCACCTCCAAGGCATCCTGCCCAACACAGCACGTCAGTGTCCTATCACTTTCACACACAAACAACTGGACAACAAGGTGATCACCTTGGACATCTGTCATTTGGCTATTTCCTGTTGACTGAGCGAGTGAGTGACTGTTGCGTCAGTCAGCAATATTCCAGTTATATCCTCTGCACATCAAAACTGGGTAAACATTTCTGACCATAATGCATTAGGGGCTGGTCAAGAGACCCTTTTTGGAAAGCATACCATATGTTATAGATGTATGGAAAGCTCTTGGAAATGTGCATTCGACAGTATCACTAAAATAAGTAAAAAAAACTACCAAAATAATGACATTATAGCCATTGGAAGTTACGAAAAAATCTAAATTTTGGTGATTTTGGTCAATCAGTAACACCTTATGCTTCAAGACCAATGTGGGGCGGTCGGGTAGTCTGGTGGTTAAAGCGTTCGCTCGTCACACCGAAGACCCGGGTTCAATTCCCGACATGGGTACAATGTGTGAAGCCCATTTCTGGTGTCCCCCGCCATGATATTGCTGGAATATTGCTAAAAGCGGCGTAAACCCATACTCACTCACTCACTCAAGACCAATGTGGAAAACCCCTATACAGTTTGGTATCCACAGAAAGAGCAGGCCCTGGGCAGTAATCTCAATACAGACAAAGAAATGACAGGGGAAAAATGGGAGTAAAGAAAATAGAAGAAAAAAGAAGAAGTGTGTTTACATTTGCGATGGCCAATTTCCCAAGTTTCGAAAGCATTTTTGAGATCCTTAGGGTATTACTCAAAGACTGCATACAAAAAAACTAGTAATTTGACCTTTTTCAACGGATTCATCGAGGTACTTCTGATATGACCCTAATTCAAAAATATTTGTTGTAAGCCCCACCTGCCAAAGGACATAACAGTGGGCTTTTCAGAAATTGATTATGGCATACCAGAAGCAGATGGCTTGAAAATGATCAACATTGCCAGGGAAAGATGTTACAGAAGTGCCAAGAGACACACTGCATCAAGTACAGTGAGCCCGATTGCCAACAGAAGCAGTACTGAGGACATCTTGCCCCCCAGTCTAGACTTGATCAAGTTGTGGGCGGAAAGAGTCTTCCTTCAGTACATGCACTGACATGACCTACCTGCCAGATGCCAATGTTCTCCACCTGCTTGCCAAACGGGCGCTGATGGTTGACGCAGAGCTTGAAGGCGTCGCTGCGGATCTCGATGACGTTGTTCAGCAGGGCACACAGCGCTGCTAGAGGGAAAGCCGAGGAGAAGAGCGTCACGTAGCCGAACTGGATGAACATCTCCAGGTAGTCTTCATATGTGTCCTCATACTGGAGAACAAGCATCACAGCTCTTACCATGCATGTCAGTCAATGTTTGTACTGTTGATGTGAGTTCAGGCTGGTCTGTAGATAATGTATACCTGGCGGGCCTCACACAACTGATTCCTTAAATAACTGGGAATGTATCTCACATCTAATCAATTTTTAAAATATTCACTGTGCAATTCTGAAATGATATTTCATCTTATTTTTGGATAATTCAAACTTGGTACACACACTTTCCTTAAGGCGACGAAAGGATTGAATGATATAACATAAATATCAACTGCTGCCTGTGGGAGTGTTGGCCGTATCTCATCCCACCTCCCATTCCATCACCCCACTCACATCCACTCCCACCTCACATCCACCTAACCCTCACCTCACATCCACTCACCACAACCTCACATCCACTCAGCACACCTCACATCCACCCACGACACCTCACATCCACTTACCCCACCTCACATCCACTCACATCCACTCTCCCCACCTGACATCCACTCACCACACCTCACATCCACTCACCACACCTCACCACACCCTCACATCCACCTCACATCCACCCACCCCACCTCACCACACCCTCACATCCACACAACCCACCTCACCACACCCTCACATCAACTCTCCCCACCTCACATCCACCCACCACACCTCACATCCACTCACCCCACCTCACATCCACTCTCCCCACCCCCTCTACCCACCACACCTCACATCCACTCTCCCCACCTCACATCCACCCATCCCACCTCACCCCACCTCACATCCACCCACCCCACCTCACATCCACCCACCCCACCTCACCTCACATCCACCCACCCCACCTCACATCCACTCACCCCACCTCACCACCCCTCACATCCACTCTCCCCACCTCACATCCACCTCACCCCACCTCACATCCACCCACCCCACCTCACATCCACCCACCACACCTCACCCGACCTCACATCCACTCACCCCACCTCACATCCACTCACCCTACCTCACATCCACTCACCCAACCTCACATCCACTCACCACACCTCACATCCAGTCACCACACATCACCACACCCTCACATCCACTCCCCCCAAACCTCACATCCACTCACCAAACCCTCACATCCACTCCCCCCAAACCTCACATCCACTCACCACAACCTCACATCCACTCACCCCACACCTCACATCCACTCCCCACACCCTTACATCCACTCACCACAACCTCACATCCACCCACCACACCTCACATCCACTCACCACACATCACCACACCCTCACATCCACTCACCCCACACCTCACATCCACTCACCACACCCTCACATCCACTCACCACACCCTCACATCCACTCACCACAACCTCACATCCACTCACCACACATCACCACACCCTCACATCCACTCACCACACCCTCACATCCACTCTCCCCACCCTCACATCCACTCACCACACCCTCACATCCACTCTCCCCACCCTCACATCCACTCACCACACCCTCACATCCACTCACCACACCCTCACATCCACTCTCCCCACCCTCACATCCACTCTCCCCACCCTCACTTCCACTCACCACACCCTCCCATCCACCTCCCATCCACTCACCACACCCTCACATCCACTCACCCCACCCTCACATCCACTCACCCCACCTCACATCCACACACCACAACCTCACATCCACTCACCCCACCTCACATCCACACACCACACCCTCACATCCACCCACCCCACCTCACATCCACTCTCCCCATCTCACATCTACTCACCACACCTCACATCCACTCACCAAACCCTCACATCCACTCACCCCACCTCACATCCACACACCACACCCTCACATCCACCCACCCCACCTCACATCCACTCTCCCCACCTCACATCCACTCACCCCACCCTCACATCCACTCACCAAACCCTCACATCCACTCACCCCACCCTCACATCCACCCACCACACCCTCACATCCACCCACCACACCCTCACATCCACTCACCACACCCTCACATCCACTCACCCCACCTCACATCCACACCCTCACATCCACTCACCCCACCTCACATCCACCAACCTCACCTCACATGCACTCACCCCACCTCACCCCACCCTCACATCCACTCACCAAACCCTCACATCCACTCACCCCACCCTCACATCCACCCACCACACCCTCACATCCACCCACCACACCCTCACATCCACTCACCACACCCTCACATCCACTCGACCCACCTCACATCCACCCACCACACCCTCACATCCACTCACCCCACCTCACATCCACCAACCTCACCTCACATGCACTCACCCCACCTCACATCCACCCACCCCACCTCACATCTACTCACCACACCTCACATCCACCCACCCCAACCTCCCATCTACTCACCCCACCTCACATCCACCCACCCCACCTCACATCTACTCACCACACCTCACATCCACCCACCCCAACCTCCCATCCACTCACCACACCCTCACATCCACTCACCACACCTCACATCTACTCACCACACCTCACATCCACCCACCCCAACCTCCCATCCACCCACCCCAACCTCACATCCACTCACCACACCCTCACATCCACCCACCCCACCTTACATCCACCCACCCCACCTCACATCCACCCTCACATCCACACCCTCACATCCACACCCTCACATCCACTCACCACACCTCACATCCACTCACCACACCTCACATCCACCCATCCCACCTCACATCCACCCACCCCACCTCACATCCACCCACCACACCTCACATCCACCCACCACACCTCACATCCACCCACCCACCTTCTTCATGGCACTCTCCACCTCTGCCTGTGTGAGTGTTGGACCACTCATCTTCTCCCCGAGTGGGGACTGCGCCGTCTCTATGACAGGGTCCTCCAGCTTCTCCTTGTGGAGGATGTTGTTGGCCAGACGCTGCTGTGGACTCTCCTCCCCTGCTTCTCCAGGACCAGACTCTGTCTCCTCCTGCTCCTGTTCAGGGCTGCTGTCGGCTGTCAACAAGAGAGGCCACCTCGTTCACGGAGTGATAACAATCTTGTGCTGTAGGACTTGCATGAGTGACACCTGACCATAAGTCACACTATTTGACGGTCCCAAACATGCACCAACAAGCACACATCTCCCCCTGGTCGATCCCCATTCCCATCCCACATCAATCCACTCACCAGACTCCCTCTCACCTACCTACAGTGTTCCCACTGGCTTTGGAAACTGCCAGTCCTTGTGGACTGGCAACTGTAAAAATTACCAGTCCCCACATTCAACAACAAGTTCAATGCAATTATGTCATCTCGGAAGTAACTTAGTAACAATTTTCTCCTTTTTTTAAAATATTGAGACTAAGTCGCTATATTTAGCCTCAAAGCAAACCGAAATGTTATTTCCTTGCACTAAAAATAGACAAGGGGAAACCCTGATGGTAACAGACATCAGGGACTGGCAGTCACAAGAATTACTGGTCCAAGCCAAATATTACCTGTAAAGAAGTGGTAAACGAGAACACTGACCTACCCATAACACTACACCTGCATGCCTTATCCACATCAATTTATCCTGTCTCCCTCTGCTGACCCCACCCCAGCAATCAACTCACCTGCCTCCGTGCCCTCTCCCTCCGGACCACGCCGCCGACACCTGACCCCACTGGTCATCTCCTTCATCTCCTTGTCGAGGCTGGAGGGGGACATCTGTCCCGTGATCTGGAGCCCCACCTTCAGTAGCCGCGCCTTCCACACCAGGTACGGCAGCAGGGCCTCCTTCAGGTTACCAATCACCTGTCTGGTGATGAGCAGCGCCGCCAGTTGCTGGCCACACAAACCGGCATGAACACCCATATCATCACATCACATCCATGTTTATCATGTTATTTGACATACAATAATATAATGAATTTTATCGTCATAGACAGATAGAGAGATAAAACACTTGTGATACATTTATATAATGAGCTTGCTCCATGGTGTCAACTGCCTGCACATCACTCACAATAACAAACATGACATGAGTGAGTGGGTGAGTGTTTTGATTTTGGTTATGGGTGAGTGAGTGAGTGAGTGAGTGAGTGAGTGAGTGAGTGTACCGGTACCCCCAGGGAGATATCGCTACAGGTCCTCACTGTTCAGCACACAGCCTACCTCTCTCAGGCGGTCCATGTCCCTCAGGTAGAAGGCAATGTAGAACAGTGACAGGAAGGAGTTGACAAACTGAAACTGAGGCCACACCCTGTATAGGAACACTTTGCTTATCACTTACCATATCATCATTTCAAATTCCTGACACTTTGGAGAACATGAAGAATGTTACAAAAAAACAAAACCTTTAAATATTCAAACAATCCCATAGTTCACAGATACGATATATAAAAGAAATATTTTTTCCTTACCAAAACTAGTTTTAATATAAGCTGATTTTCGTATGTTTCTTCCAATCGGTAGTTCTCTGAAAGGGAAGAAAGAATGATACCATGTCAATCAGGTGACGTACACCTACAACATCCAATCTGGATGGTGCACCATGAATGTCTATCTATGTAATTATCAAACAAGGCAAAATGTGAGCAGTGCTCACTAATACCCCTCACCTCTACTCCACCATCAGCTCAAGAACAATTTTGGTGCTGGAGATATATTAAAGTCTTAACGTTTGAGCCATATTTTCTCAGAAAATCCACTTATTAAAATCAAATTTTGCACTGAACCTCTCCTAGTGGTATAGAAACTGCACCCTCAATTGTCAAAGAATCCAGGAAGTTTTTTTCAAGTTTTGGTTGCACACATGTTGAAGTGAAAAAAATCATTCTAAACTTGTAAAAATTCAAAACATTTCATAAAATCCACATATCAATATCAAACTTTGCACTGCACCTCGTCTATTAGTATAGAAACTGTACGAATCAATGCAGTAGTCTTTCAAGCTATAGGTCGCAAACATGTTTAAGTAAAAAACATGAAACATTGGCTAAAAAAAGTAATAGTCTTAGTTCTCAGGCACTGTCTGCATCATTTAAAGTTTGCCGCATGTTTCGTTTTTATTTCCATTTTCAAACAAATTAAAAAATCCTAATAAAAGCGGCGTAAAACCATACTCACTCACTCACCTAATACTTGAAAACAATGTGATCCAACATAGCACACAGTTACTTCCCTTTACATGCGCACAGCTTTACAGCACATCTCGTGTTGTGGTCATGGCGTCAACAGGCTTTTGTATGCTTGTTTATGTAGAGAGGCTCTTTCCCAGGTTGATGGTACACAACTGTTTATTTGCTTACAAACTAGTTTGAACAAGCGAGAGACAAAACAACTACCGCCCGCCCACACTATATTTTCAAATGCCTTGCCTGAGAACCAATTCATTTAATTTTCTTAGCCATAGCTGTATTTTTTCTGAAAATCCAACTTTTGAAATCCAACTTGAAAATGCACCTCTCCTATTGGTACAGAAAGTGTTCACCATGTTTGAAATGAATTTAGACAGTAGTTTCAGTTCTAGGTCGCATACAACAAATGTCCTTGGAAGGATGGTGGCTACAACAATGAGACCATCTTGTACACTATCTTTCAGCAATATGACAATATTAAATGATGGTTAAATATGAATTGGTAATCCAAAGCTGACCATGCTGTCAGGGGGAAAGACAAAATCAACACCTACCCTTATCATTGAGCCAAACAGCAATGACTCGGTAAAGTTCATCAAAAATTGTTATACACAGGGCAAGCAGGATTTTAGGGCAGAACCGAAGGAATGCGGGAATATCATCTGAAGCGATGAGGGCGTTGACCCATTCCTGTAGCTGGAAGATAAGCAGCATCACAGCGAACACCACGAAAAGACACACGCCGATCACGGGGAAGCTCACAAGGTACCGAAACAAGTTGCGTTTCCAGGACGGGTAAAAAGGCTGCATCCGACCTGTGACAGGACTCTTCACCAGGTCGCCCTGAAACAACAACGTAAAAGTGTTTTTGTTTTGTTTCTTGTTTTACGCTGCACTCGGCAATATTCCAGCTATATGATAGCAGCCTGTAAATAATCGAGTCTGGATCAGACAATCCTGTGATTGATATTGTGAGCAACAATCCACACCATCTTGGTACAATACATGTATCAACCAAGTTACCAAATCTGACCACCCGAACAATTTGGTCGCCTCTTACGACCAGCATAGGTTGCTGGGGACCAATTCTTACCCGGAATCCACACAGGATTTATAGTGTTTTTGTGTTTACACAATTAAGTAAAAGAAATTTGAAAACAAAGCGGTGCTTGAGAGTGAGTGAGTGGATTTGACACCAAAGTATGATACTTCAGTTGTATCATCGCCTCGGAGGCCAGACTCAATTATTTACAGACTGCTGTCGTACAGCTTGAATACTGATGAGTGCGGCATTAAACAACAAACACACAAACAAACAGCCTGGTAAATCCAGGAGTGATCAAAGTTTGGTGACACCCATAGTGCTGACAAGAATCATAATCTGGGCAAACCTGGGAAGAGAATCCAAGATCAACTGATCCTGGCACAACTAAGGGAGGCAACACAATGAAATGTTGTGGCTTTCACCATTGGGCCACTTCCTTGTTGTTGAACAGTCAAATGTACAGTAAAGTAAACTTATTGTTTTGTGACTTAATAAGATAAAACTTGATACTTACAAGCTAGAAAATATAGTCTGATTGTTTAACTCCACGACCTTGACCTAGTTCTGAACATGTACTATTTGTCCTCCCTACCTTATACAGCGGCCTGGGATCCTTGATGAGCTCATCTTTCTTGTCCAGGGTGCCCCACTTGTAGGCCAGCTCGGAGCTGGTTCTCTTCCAGTGCTCCAGGTACAAGGTCGCCCATATCACATTGAACAAGGCGTACGTCACAAAGCAGATGTCCTCTATCTCCTGCCAAACAATTCACGACACAATCACTATGGGACTTTCTGTCATCAAATGCTAATTGACAGAAATATTCAACATCAAGATGAATGCATCCGGACAAACCACTGGTGGGCAGACTGAGCAACAACCCATCCACCAAGGGCACAGTGAAACATAATGAGCCATGTCTTGCGACTACCAGTATTTATGCAGTCCATCACAATACCAGTTCAGGGAGAACTATCTTTATCACAAGATATGGAAAATTGAACCAAAAAACATACTGTCCTACCTCTGAATGTCCATACAGAAAACTTGTTTTCAGTTTGGACTGTTTGGTTTACATAATTATATTTTGCCTGAGTAAGTCAATATATGTGTAAGGAGTCCATGTTGTCAGGTCACCATTGCCAGCCAATATGAACCTGTTTGGGTGACCTTTGATCCATCTGATATTAACCAATGAGCAGGCTGGCCCACCTGAAGCTATCTGGTAAATATTGAACTTCGGCTGGCAGTAAGCTTGATCCAAATCAAAGCCAGATAATGAGAGTTGAACATGTATTAACCTGGACAAGATCTGTAAAATTAACAATAAAACTTTAAACCCAAGGATATAAAAAGAGTCTCTTCTCCATATCATAACTTCTTCTTTTTTATAGACAAGTGGGATAACTCTAATCACAATTGAATTAGTTAGTGAGTATGGTTTTAGCAATATTCCAGCAATATCACAGTGGGGGACACCAGAAATCGGCTTCACACATTGTACCCATGTCGGGAATCGAACTTGGGTCTTAGCCATGCAAGCAAACACTTTAACCACTCTTGGCTTCCCAACCGCCCCACACAATTGAATTAGAATGTCCTAAACATCGGCGCTCACAATGACAGCATCACGCCCAGCATCACGCCGAGCATCAAGCCGAGCATCACACCGAGCATCACGCCGAGCATCACGCCGAGCATCACACCGAGCATCACGCCGAGCATCACGCCGAGCATCACACCCAGCATCACACCCAGCATCACACCCAGCATCACGCATCACACTGAGCATCACACTGAGCATCACGCCGAGCATCACGCCGAGCATCACTCCGAGCATCACGCCGAGCATCACGCCAAGCATCACACTGAGCATCACGCCGAGCATCACACCCAGCATCACACCCAGCATCACTCCGAGCATCACTCCGAGCATCACGCTGAGCATCACGCCAAGCATCACGCTGAGCATCACGCCGAGCATCACACCCAGCATCACACCAAGCATCACACCCAGCATCACACCGAGCATCATGCTGAGCATCACACCAAGCATCACACCAAGCATCACGCCGAGCATCACACCCAGCATCACGTCCAGCATCACATCCAGCATCACACCGAGCATCACACCCAGCATCACACCAAGCATCACACCGAGCATCATGCTGAGCATCACACCAAGCATCACACCAAGCATCACGCCGAGCATCACACCCAGCATCACGTCCAGCATCACATCCAGCATCACACCGAGCATCACACCAAGCATCACACCCAGCATCACACCGAGCATCATGCTGAGCATCACACCAAGCATCACACCAAGCATCACGCCGAGCATCACACCCAGCATCACGTCCAGCATCACATCCAGCATCACACCGAGCATCACACCCAGCATCACACCCAGCATCACACCCAGCATCATGCTGAGCATCACACCAAGCATCACGCCAAGCATCACGCCGAGCATCACACCAAGCATCACACCCAGCATCACACCCAGCATCACACCCAGCATCACACCAAGCATCATGCTGAGCATCACACCAAGCATCACACCAAGCATCACACCAAGCATCACGACGAGCATCACGCCAAGCATCACGCCGAGCATCACGCCGAGCATCACGCCGAGCATCACACCGACCATCACGCCGACCATCACACCCAGCATCACACCCAGCATCACACCCAGCATCACACCCAGCATCACGCCCGAGCATCACGCTCGAGCATCAGGCTGAGCATCACACCCAGCATCACGTCCAGCATCACACCCAGCATCACACCGAGCATCACACCCAGCATCACACCCAGCATCATGCTGAGCATCACACCAAGCATCACACCAAGCATCACGCCGAGCATCACGCCCAGCATCACGCCCAGCATCACGCCGAGCATCACACCGAGCATCACGCCGAGCATCACACCCAGCATCACACCCAGCATCACACCGAGCATCACGCCCGAGCATCACGCTGAGCATCACACCGAGCATCACGCCGAGCATCACACCCAGCATCACGCCCAGCATCATGCTGAGCATCACACCAAGCATCACACCAAGCATCACGCCGAGCATCACACCGAGCATCACACCCAGCATCACACCCAGCATCACACCGAGCATCATGCTGAGCATCACACCAAGCATCACACCAAGCATCACGCCCAGCATCACGCCCAGCATCACGCCGAGCATCACGCCGAGCATCACACCGAGCATCACGCCGAGCATCACACCCAGCATCACACCCAGCATCACACCCAGCATCACGCCCGAGCATCACGCTGAGCATCACACCAAGCATCACGCCGAGCATCACGCCGAGCATCACGCCGAGCATCACACAGAGCATCACACAGAGCATCACACCGAGCATCACGCCGAGCATCACACCGCGCATCACGTCGAGCATCACACCGAGCATCACGCCGAGCATCACACCGAGCATCACGCCGAGCATCACGCCAAGCATCACACAGAGCATCACGCCGAGCATCACACCGGGCATCACGACGAGCATCACGACGAGCATCACGCCAAGCATCACGCCGAGCATCACGCCGAGCATCACACCGAGCATCACGCTGAGCATCACACCAACCATCACACCGACCATCACGCCGAGCATCACGCTGAGCATCACACAGAGCATCACGCCAAGCATCTAGAGTGCTAATGGAGATCAGGTGGAGGGTATCAGTAACACGGAGACGCTGCACGACACTAACCACAATTGACATGAGGCTTGAGTCACATGAAGTATGAGGGTTGCTAATGGAGCTTCCTGTCATCAGCAGGTATCTGATGACTGATACACTACACATGTGGACAAAGCTGAATCGGCATTCTACAGTCAACACGCAGCTTTACTGGAAACATCAGCAACAGATATTCTACACCTTTTTCCCTTTGATCTCGTCAAGATAAACAAGAGTGATCAGAAGATGACAAATCCCCCTACAACAGCAAAAGGCACCACTTCAGCTCCTGTTCAATATATGTACCAAATTTGGATGAAAAATTCCATGATTTTCAAGTTATGTTCCGCAAACGAAATACGGACTGATGGAACAGACAGACAGACGAGATGATGACTATAAGAAGTGCATTAGGTGTTTCAAACAAAATCTCTACCCTAACAAATTTCCAAACTGTTTCAAATGCCTGAAGAAATATTATTTTTTAAACCATATTAAATGTATATAGGGAGTGAGTCACTGTTGTGGTGGCAAACAACTGCATTGGAAAATTATGTTCCAGCCACACTAAACCTCAATCACATACTGTCACTACTATGTGTGTTCAGTGTTAAGTGTGGTAACCCTATCGCAGCTTTTGAACGCAAGAGTGAGTGAGTGAGTGAGTGAGTGAGTGAGTGAGTGAGTGAGAGATATAAACCCGCTCAATACATCTTAGTCCCTATATCTAAGCATCTACAAAACGAAATATTAATATTAAAGTCTGACTGAATGAATTGCAGTATGGATAGGACAGATTTATTTTCTACTTTATGACCAAGCTTATCTTAAAATATCTAAATATATAAAAAAAATATGTGTTTGATTGAAATGCATGCATTATTTAAAACCTATTCATTTAATTATATTTATCGTAAAATTTATTTATTTAAGGAAATTAATCTCAACTAGTTTTTATGTTATTATTTCTCACCTCCTGCCTCTTGCGATACTGACTCGCAAAGCACACACAGAACCCCCGACCTACGCATGCAAAAACACACTTATTGCTGGCAATGTCATGCTTATAAAGTGCCATTTAAATATTTATTCCTCGTTTTATTAATTGATCAGTAATTTGTTTACTGATATAACAAAATGAATTATTGGTATGACAAATTTGATTTAATGATATCATAAAACAATTATTGATATCATGAGATAATTATTGATATTACAAATTTGAATTTTAGATATCATAAATAAAATTTGCGACATCTAAAAATGTATTTTGTCATATATAGAGAGGTATTTTTTGGTGTCACTAAATAGAATTTGTGATATCTAAGAGTCTTAAGTATATTTTGATATCATAAATTCAAGTTTGTGACATCAATAATTCATTTTTGAATATCTAATAATCAAATTTGTGATATCAATAATTCAATTTGTGATATCATAAAATAAAGGCGAATTTATGATCAATAAATTGAACTTGTGATAGTTTTTATTACCCTTTCCACAACAGCTGCCTTGATTTCATGTTCATCTTTACGAATATTCACTGCGGCACTGAACTGCATGAAAATGGCAGCAATTGGAAATAATGCAGGACAATGGTTTCAGAAGCGATCGTTGCCATTAATAACGAGAGGAACCATTTAAGACACAGTCACTCATGACCCAGATACATCTAAAAGCTAACAATGGTCATGAATATTCAGATCAGTCCTTAATAGGCGGACAGTGAGTGATTTCACGCCGCATCACAACCCGTAACTTCCAGAAATGGATATGCATGGACACATCAGGCTATCTATTCCTGTACAAAATGTGAGCAGGCATTCTCTTATTCATAACATGATTATTGATATCACAAAGTTAATTTTTAGATATCGTTTAATGATTTATTAATATCACAAATTTGATTTGAATGTGGGTAATATAACTCATTATTAGAATATCAACCTTAATTAAACAGCATAAATATTTTAAATCTATTTAAAATAATTCACCATCCCCAAATGAAAATATCCAATGTTCTTTATGCATGATAAGCATGA